CCTGGTGGGCGCTCGCCAGCCCAAGCGGGGTTGTCCCTCTTGGACACCCTCTTCTCACCTTCGCCGAGGGTTTCTGTGCTGCCGGTTTCTAGGAGGCTGCCTGCAAACTCGGGGCTGTTGAGCACGAAAGAGTTGTGGCTTTTGTTCTGTTTGCACAGGGAAGTGCAAATAGAAGTGTCTGTTCGCAAGTGTGGAAAGAGCACTTAGTAGTTCAGTAAATATTTGTTCTCGGTTTCCTGATGCTGGGACCGCATGCCCAGCTGGCACGTTGCTTAGAGGTACTGCAAGAGGACAAGCCACTTGAATTCTTTGTGTGGTTGGGGTGAAATGACCCAGAGCTGAGGGATATGGGGCATCTCAGCCGTCCGTCCGCTCATTAACTCTGTCTTTTCTTATGGAAGTGCATGTGTTCTGTACTCCCCTCCAACGACAGCGTTACAGTCATGGCTCTGTGGCTTTTTTCTCCCCCTTTCCCCGCTTCTGATGGCCTTGTTATTACTGCCTGGGACACAGGGCTACGTGCCACCCAGCCTCGGAGAGGGCCGTAGGACTTCGCTTACGCTGAGGGCGTTTAACTGTGTCAGTGGCCAAGTGCCACCCAGAAAGTGGTGCCAGCCCTAGCTGGGAAACATAGAGGTTGCAGGAGGAAACGGGAGGGATGGAACTAGGATGTGAGCTGCCTTCCCGGTGCTGTTCTTGTCTCCAGACTGCACTGGGGGTCTCATTCTCCGTTTCTGGATGACTGACTGTACTTTGCCATCTGCTCCAAACACCTGCATTACTCTGGAGCTCCGGTCTTTTGGCAGTGCTGCGCCTAAGGGTGGCCCTTTTGCAGCTACAACCGTGCTGAGCGTCACGATTACAGCTGAGGACAGGGGAGAACCCTCGAGCAGAGAAGGTCCTGAGCGCTTGGTCACTTGGACAGTGTCCACATTAGCTGTAAGGTGACAGGGTTGGGGTTTATTCCCCGTTAACTCTGCAGCGAAGGTCTGTAGGGAAGCCACGAGCTGCTGCGAGCGTGTTTGGATTTTGCTGCAGGGACTGTGTATGATAGAAGCTCCTGGAGCCATCTGGAGAAGGGCGCCTGGCCAGGGGCTGGAGGAGTTGCACGAGCTGCTCGGCCTCGCCAGCACCCTGCACTCCCGTAGCTTGCAGCTGATGGTTTCTGGCCCTCGCCTCCCGCACGAGGAGAGCTGAACTGGGCTCCTTGGGGAGCAGAGAGCCTCGCCAGAACTTGTGGGCTGGGATTTTATTGTCTCTCCGTACGCGGATTCCTCTTCGGCTTTGTGAGAGGGACACGGGCGCGTGATCACAGGAGCGTTTTAAGGGAGCGAAGGCCGTGGGCTGCGGCGAAGTGCTGTTCCGCAGCCAAAATCGCTTCCTTCGGATCCCGCTGGGTCCTGTTCTGGCCCGCTGTCCCCAACGGCAGCGTGAAGACCTTCCCGATGTCAGCTGGCGAGAAGCTGCTGAAAACGTGCCATCCTCTGAAGGTCCCTGTGACTGTGACTGCTCCCTTCTTGCTGCTCCTCGGTGAGATCAACCGTGTCTGCGTGGTTGTTTAAAAAATGCAGGTTTTGTCATGGTAACAAGGCAGTGCAGAGGAGGGAAGCTAGGCAGAGATAAGAGCCCTCCCTTCTGCTCTCCCCTGAGCCCGTGAGTTTATCTGCAGTTTCCTGGCAGGGTGGTGAGTGCTGGCACCCGGGTGCTGCTCTGTGAGACAAGAAAAAGGGTGGAAGAAGGATGTTCAGACTGGTGGCAGTGCCTTTAAATGTGTATTGTGTAATCATCTTAGGGAGCAGGAAAAGAGGAGAATATGGGGGATTAATGGGCAAAGGCAAGGCAAGGGAGGCCCTGGACTCTTCTGCATGAGGTGATGTGAGAGAGCCCTAGGAAACATAAATGCTTTTTGTGCAGATCCCTCCTTTCCGAGGGTCCCTCAGCACTTCCCAGGGGTGTCAGTCCTGCCCCGGTGAGAGGCAAACATCTGGAAGCTGTTTTATGTTCATGGAAACATCCAGGAGAGTTACGGCACACGGGCTAGGAGCACGTCGGGGCTCTCGTTCCGTTGTGGGGTGGCCCTCGATCAGCACCTCAGTCCTCGTACACACGCAATGCTCGCAGGTCTGGCAGGGACGGAGCTCGTTCCTCAAGCCGGGAGCGCGCGCGCTTGTGCAAGGCTCCGCGTCGTCCCGCCTTGTCCCCATGCTGGGTCAGGGTAGAGCTGCTGATGCGCCTTTTGGCCTGCTGCGTTCCCCTCTCTCTGGCTTTCCAGGGACCCATGGGTGGCTTCAGGGTCTGTGGGGAGAAGCCCCCAGGTCCCTGAGCAGCAGGTCAGGGGAGGAGAAGCCCCTTCTGAGCCGGGCAGGGTGTCAGCTCCTGTTAGGACCGGCTTCAGCCTGGCCAGACTCTAGGTGGGGCTGAAGAGTTGGAGATCTTGCCTGCACCCAGCCTGGCCTGGCTTTTCGTTGGGTTTGGGCACCCTGGAGCAAGCCCTTGGCCGTGGTCCCACCAGGAGAGACCCTCTCCCGGCGCTGGGGTCCCGAAGAGGTCAGAGAGGGGCTTCCCACCTCACGTGGAGGCAACGAGGGGTGGCTGTGGACATCTCGTGCAGCTGACACGGGAGGGAGGTTTGCGGAGCTTCTCATCCCGTGGGCGAAGGCTGAGTCACGGGCTGAGGGGTGTGTGCCGACAGGCGGGAGGAGGGAGACGCCAAGTGCGGGATGGAGCTGCCTTAGCCCGAGCCTCCAGCCCCTCTGGAGAGCCCCACCACCTCTAATGTCACCGTGCATCGCAGAGGGGGGACAGCAGGCGCCTTCCCAGAGCTGGCATCACCCGTGAACTCATGCTGTGACGTGGCCTCCCTTCCTTCTTTCCCTCTCCCTTTACAGTGTTTGCTATGATTCATGTTTGCTTGTGGCAGCAAATGGTCGTGCACATGAAATGAAAC